TCACAGAGGAACTAGCAAAGAAGGGTGGCATGTGGCTTTATGATGGCAGCAAGCTGGCCTGGTGAGTACCTAGTTTGGGTGTTTGGTTATCAAACAATCTTAGCTTACCTGTACTAGGTCTTCGGAGAAGATTGACCGTCATGAAGCCCGCTTCACGGTTGATCTTGACTCTCTGAAGGAAAAGGCCGAACATGAGGACATTGCCAAACAGGTCGGGAAGACGAGCGTTTACAGCCTCACGATTCGACAGACAACAACCATCCGCCTGTCGTACCTTAAGGCCTATCTCCAAGGCAAAATCTCCTGGGACACACACGTCCTAGAGTGCATGAGTAAGTACTCTCTGCGCAACATGTCTTTAATGATATAAGCTAATGCATTGGTAGACTTCTTTGACCACTGTCTACGCCAGTTCCCCTCGGAGCAGTGGGTGACCATCAAACGCAATTTCTATGATCCTATGTTCCCCGTCGGAAATCTTTCAGGCCAACTGGTAGTAAACCAAGGCATCTATTGCGCACCTCGCCTTAGCGAAGTAAGGACCCTCCCTTCAGCACTTTCGTCTTATATTAGCTAACAGAAATGCGATTTAGTCTATCAATAGAAATGGAACAGGTCTTGCGATCAATGTTGACCGATGCCAGACTGCGTTCTGGCCCGTTCACAGTATTGATCAACTAGCCATAAATCTGTTGAATGGACACAAGAACGAATGGTCTACATGTAAGTTTTCACCTGGTTAAACATTGAACAGTATATTGACCTGCCTGTTATAGGGGACGAACACAAGATGGCATTCAACTTGAGGCCCAAAGAGGAAATTGACAAGAAGACTGGCAAAACCAAGGTTGTCCCCTCCGAAGCCTTTTCTTACCTTCGACGGTTGTCGAAACTGAAGTTCCACGTGAACCACCGAGGAAAGCTTGGTAGACCTAAGGTCTACACTATCAAGAGGCTCACATACGATGAGAAATTCGGTACTGATGGTGCAACTGCGCACACAATGACCTTTGAAAAGACCCTAGAGAATGGAACAAAGAAGACAGTGACTGTCTTCGATCACTACATTGATCGTTGGGGTATCCGTCTACGATGGCCTAGGCTCCCGCTCATCGAATCTATGGACGGGAATCTGTTCCCGCTGGAGTTGTGTAATGCCCTTCCACACCAGCGGTACACGTTCAAATTAACACCCGAACAGGTTTGTTACTGGACCCCAAAGCTCTTAACAAAGTATTTATTGTTCGGGAACTAACGAATTTCTTAGACTACCGACATGATCAGGCAAGCGGCCACCAGACCACCAAAGCGTCGAGCTGATATCACCGAAGGTATTACTCACCTGAAGTGGTCCGAAGACCCTTATTTGAAGGCCTTTGGAATACAGATTAGTTCTTCCATGGTCCTTACAGACGCACGACTTCTTCCAAATCCCGAGGTTGCCTTTGCCAATCAGAAGATTAACCCAGGTGTAAGTGGTCGGTGGGATCTTCGCGGGAAGAAGTTCTTGGAATCAAACCGCGTACACCTACACTCCTGGAGCATTGTATGCTGTGGAGAAGACACCATGGGTAAAGCAGAGTTGGAGAACTTCGCCAAAGAATTTTCCACATCGTACCGAAACCATGGAGGCATTATTACAAAGGCCGCGCTTTGTCTAACTATCGGGTTTGGGGATGGAAACTATTCCAAGATCTGTGAACAGGCATACAATTTGACCCACCAAGCTAATCCTACCATGGATCCTCAAATGATATTCTTCGTCTTACCAACCAAGAACCAGCTTGTCTACGAGCGTGTTAAGAAGAGTATGGATTGTCGATACAACTTAGTCTCGCAATGTGTTCAAGCATCCCATGCGAGGAAAGCCCAAGGACAGTACCTGAGCAATGTTGCTATGAAGGTGAACAGCAAACTTGGGGGCGTCACATGCAAAATTCCGAATGTGACCAAGCCCAACCAGCCACCCTTCTGGACTCGCCCCACCATGATGATCGGTGTTGATGTGTCCCACGCCGCGCCGGGCAGCAGTCAGCCATCCATGGCTGCTTTGACTATGTCTATGGACAAGCACGCTACCCGCTTTGCCGCAGCTTGTCAAACGAACGGCTGGCGAGTTGAGACTATCCAACCAGACATAATGGAGGAGATGATTGTGAAGCTTGCGAAGCACTGGGTCCATATAAATGCTACCCATCCACAACACATTTTCTATCTCCGAGATGGCGTCTCTGAAGGCCAATTTCATGATATCCTCAACAAAGAGGTACATAATATGCGCAAAGTATTCCAGAAACTAGGCTACGGAACCCCTAAATTCACCGTCATCATCGCGACGAAGCGTCACCATGTCCGGTTTTTCCCCAAACCAAACGACAAGGCAGGCGGTGATCGCAACGGCAACCCGTTTCCTGGCACGTTAGTGGAACGAGACGTAACACACCCGCAGCATTATGACTTCTATCTTTGCTCGCATGTAGCGATCCAAGGCACTGCTCGTCCGGTTCATTACCAAGTCATTCTTGATGAGGCTGGTGTCAAACCCAATGATCTCATGAAGATGATTTACCAGCAATGTTACCAATTTTGCCGCTCGACTACGCCGGTATCACTACACCCGGCGGTTTACTATGCGCATCTGGCTTCGAACCGTGCACGCTCACATGAGGATATTAACCCGGAAAAAATGATTATGGCATACGGCAAATCGGGCTTCCCATACGCGAAGAGCAACGCAGAGATCTATGACGAGGCCGAGGAACGGGTCAAAGCAAGGCCACCCCGCCTACTGACGATGGCGAATACCAGGTGGAAGATAGACCGGATTGCCTTTATGAATACTACTATGTGGTATGTATAAGCGTACTCGGAAGCCAATACGATCCATACTTGGTTCTGCCAAGTGTGCATTCCTCCTGGTCACGGTCCTGCACTTCTATAGATTTCAGCTATCTGGTTAACGGCACATCGGCTTCGATGAATTCGACCCGAACTATGACAACCTCTTTCAGCTCGGATATATGGCCACGTATGAACTACCTCGAAGTCAACGCGTTTCCTTTTCAATTCCACAATGTGTCTCAATCATGGTATCAGTCTTGGTTTTCAATTCTCATCAAGTACTTTCACAGATTGAGATGAGAGACCTTGTAGTTCTTCTTTCGAGGCCGCAGTGTGATATGTTCTCCCAAGAGAAACTCTTTGCCAACGCTGAATGACAACTCTCAAGGCCCACAAGGCATTCTTTTTCATGTTTCACCACACGTTGCACAGTTATGACCATATGGATTTTCCTTGCTTGAGTTGCTTCTATTGTCTTTTGATACGATGGATTTTCTCAATAATTGATATGAGGGCACCATTTCTACCCATAACCTCAGGCAAGATACATAGGCTCGCACAATGTAGTTGCACGAGGAAAGGCAATAAGTTTCGGATTATGACCGGGACCTAGAATAGAATGATAGCCAAATAGCTTTTTTTCCCCTGTTACTAATGCAATACAACGTTTTCTCCTTGTAATCCATGGTTTTGTAATTAAGGTACTTGGATGCATATCAGGCCTTCTCTGGATGCAATCTTGTTGTTAAAGTACAAGAACCATGCAAAGTTATTCAAATCCAACTTTAATGGACATGGATAATATCAGGTAGGGTAAACACCTATAAAAAGCTAACGGCTTCGTCATGTACTGAGGTGAATCTTGAAAGAGATTGGTTATGCAGATGAGATAGGTAGGTAGGTACCTAGGCAGGCTATCCATCGAGATCAGAAAGAAGCAGCTGCTCGCCATTGTGCAACCATAACTCCCTTATTGCAGAATCAGCCCCTGAGCTAGCCTATGTTAAGTGCTCTTCTCTATCTTGTTACTTGGTGAACATGTTTCTTGTTTACTTTGACATGCCTACGCTCCTGGTTACATCCCTGAAATAATAGGCCTCACACAGCCTATCAATATTCTTAAGATAGCAATCTACGCAATTGGGTTATTCATGAATATTAGGGTCTGCTAATTTGTACGCGGAACTAGGTACTGGGGTGGTAGTATATAGATACAGCCATAGCAGTGAGATTTACCTATCTTGCAATGGAGATCTCTCCCTGACTGATGATTACCATGACCTTAGGTAACTGTATCTTACAATCGGCTTAATATGGCCTATGGCGTAATAGAGCATCAGCCCACTTGCAAGTCAGCGGCCTACCGACGTGCATGCCCAGATCAGCTATATCAGCGACGTTGACGTATAGATGCAGGCTACCGATGGAATGATTCAATAACCTACTGCTGGAATAGATTCGTGAGTATAGCAGCCGCCGCAGCTACGTGAAATTTACTATGAGTCTCGTAGATTTGCGTGTGGCGATGCTGTGAACAGGACGTACAGGGTTTTGCTCCTGCTCGCTTCGCTGCTGGTAACTGGACACTAGAATGGTTGAACCAATCATAGCTAAATATGAGGTACTCCACTTCCCTAATCGGCTTGATATTCGCGTTCCCAGCCAATCAGATCTTTACGCTTTGACAAACTTATGCGTCCAAAAGCAAGCTACCGTGGTCTCGGGTCTGGGTATGCGTGTCTCTTAGCAGCGAAATGCATGTAAACATAATTCTACTGAACATTCTACCCTGACCCACAACCGCTTGTTTTGAAATATCGATTAAGTATCAATCTAATGTTATCAAAGAAGCTCAAGTAATCAGGCCAGTAGCTTTACCCCGGATTTCATCGTCGTGTACCTACCTAACTATGTAGGTACTATGTATGTCGACCTCCCCCACAATTATATTCCTAGATTAGCTACGTAGGCGCTTTGGTGAGACTAACCACGATATTTACCCGGCAGCAGAAGCATTTTCAATGGCGTCTGTGCAGCGACAGGAATTACAACTAGGGCTAAAAGCTAATCATAGCATTGCACGGGGAAATGACCGCGAGTACAGTTCTGGACATTGTTGCAAAGCTCACGTGGGAAATAAGAATAGTAAGATGATGCAATTGATGATGAAGTGCAGAGAGCGAGGTGTTAATTTTAAACGGTTATTTCTCTACTGATTTAGTAGGCCGCATAAATAAAGATACACTAAGGGGGTGTTCTGTAACGGTAACAAAGATCCCACTCAATATACCACACCGCAGGATATCTATCCTCGAATACTATGTCTTGATCCAGTTCGGGGGTAGATGCTGTCCACAGAGTGGGTTTTTCCCCCGGAAAGTAAGGCCACGGCTCAACGATAGTATTTTCCTCTTTTCTGAAAACGTCACTTCTCTCCCACGTCCCCTTGAAGTAATCGTCGCAATTGTCTCTAAAGGAATCAGAAGTTAGAATTCATTCACGATATATTACGAACGTGGGTGTCGGTGAGTGGATATTACATTCTAAACAAGCTTTCGATATATCCTACAGGAACGGCGAATTCGAGGAGCTGGAGCTTTATAGGGTCCAACGTATCAAAAATCGGGAATTGAGGAGATTTCCAAGGGGGAATTTCAAAGTATCTAGGTAATAGATCCACAAGCTCATGTCTATTATCGTTAGTGTTCATTTTTCTACCCGGAGTTGGACATATCCTGCAAGGCGTTATGATAGTTGACTTGAGATTATGAGGGTTGAGAAAGTCGCCGGGCCACCTCTTGAGACCTGTGGGTACGATATATGAATGCGTTTCTTCTTCGGGAAGCTTTGTATTTTAGTTTGTCAGTAAATTTAACCCGCCTTTGCCCTCTGATTAAATACGACGCTAGGGAGAAACCTGTACATACCAAGATGCGATCGAATTTGCACCTATTCAAACTGCTGAGGGAATTGTGCTCTATGCTGAACTCGATATCAAGCGTGCGCATTCGGGTGTGGAAAGTAGTGATAATGCCCTGCAAGTAATAGAAAAGCTTGCCGTATATATCGTTTTTTGCAAAGCCAGGAAAAGTCTTCTTGAACTCGGACCGAGACCACCTACGCTCTGGCCCTCTTGTGTCGTCAAGAAGCCATGTACCCACGCCGCTAGAGAAGTCGAAAAGGGTGCTGAAATTTCGAAGGGATCAGTTGACATATGAGAGGCATAAGGAAAGCAATACCGTTTTAGGATATTAGGCTTTTAGAGGAGAACTCACACGTTAGGCTTGACTATGTCGTGCGAAGGCCGACCCATGGGTAGTAAAATCCCTTCCTCCATGAACCTGATATAGCAAGGACGCTCGGCATACGGCTGTCTAAATAAATAACGTTCTCTGTTATCTAGTCTGCTTTCACAGGCGACTACGGCGTTCCGAGCAGATATGGCCTCTTCCCGCAATAAATCCCTTTCTAGGTACCTTGCTAGATAAGGCCAGTCTGTATAAGCTAATTTGAGGTTGATAGATGCAGAAATGCCCGCTAATTCTCTAGTCATCCTTGTTGAACACGCGTCAGTTATTTCATCCGAGAAGAACCTCTCTATAGTATTTGGTTCGAATCCATGCTGATCTCGAAATTTGTAAGACTCGATGAGAATATACTCATATAGCGGGCCGCGAATCCAACTGTGTAACGATTCTGGTATGAAGGCAGAGTACCATAAATGTATGGTGTTCTCCGTCGCCAGGAGCACATCGTCGTGACAGAGAAGATAGGTAAGAATTATGTAGGCGCGGGCAACGACATTGAAATCCTTGTTACTGATTACGATTTTGACTTTCTTCGGATAATCCTCTGGGATGCCGTTCACAGTCATCATAACGTTTCTGAGGTCCCCACAACCTGTATGATAGACGTTAACAATGCTCTTCTATTTGACCGGCGCGTGATAGTACGTGCCAATGAATAGTAAATTCAAGTCTTCCTGGAAGTCTCGTCCCTCGTTAAATCCCAGCTGGAGTATATCTAGTGCGATAGACCTTCCCTAAGGTTGTCTTCCAGACGAATTTAGGTGCGGAGGACTTTGGTTGAAGAACATGGGTAGTCTGTTTTCTCGATACCACGTAGGACGCCAGTTTAGGCTTCTGTACGGGGATCTGCAGACATTCTGGTGCGCAACATCGTTGTTTCGGCATTCATATGAGCAGTATTGTACTAGGTGGCAGGAATAGCAAGCGAAAAGGGCGGGCTGGTGGCAAAACAATCCATCGCAGGGGAATATTCTTGAAGACATGATGAGAATATGATACTATGGGACTGTGAAGTTGAACAAGTGCTGTTTGATTAAGAGTCTAAGTCTAGAATTCAAAGCGGATGCTGATGGTCGAATGGTATTTATAAGATGTGTGTATTGTAGAAGATGTTCCTAGGTTACTTAAGTCTTATATGGAGGTAAATACATGTAGGTAAATACCTAGGTACCTAAGCTTGATGACGTCGTTACAGGTAGTATAGGACAATGTGCTTGCCTTCGAAAGGAGGTGCTTACCTAGAAGTAAGGGCCAAAGGAAAGAAACGATAACTACCTCTTACATGTACCTACCTCCTAACCTAACCTACCTAGCTTATGTATATAACGAGGTAGTAAAACACCCATATCGCATAATAAACTGTATCATACGTCATAGGCATCGGAGCTTTTATCAATTTGTTCATTCATTTTGCTTCTTTGGGTATCATATTCATAGCTGCCTCATCCGTTTTCCACTTTCAAGTTCCACCACTTCTAGCCCTTCAACCTTCTCAATTCTCCCTACACTTCGCCTGCTGGCCCCTGAGCTGGATCGTGATATCCTATCGCCATTTAATAACGCTTCTCGGCTCTCCCCGGTCTTGTTTCCTCCTGTCCTGACATCTACGTCTTCCTCGTGAGCTTCTGGTACGCTGTTTAGACTATGCGCCCTTGCCATGGCGCTTTGCGCATCTAATGATGCTGCGGAAATAGCTGTAGTAGTGGTTGTAGTGGTTGTAGTGGTCGTAGTGGCCGCTGTGCTACCGCTGACATTTCTACTAAGGCTCGCCTGCAAGCTTGTCTGTCTTATTGATAGCGAATCCCCCCTAGGTCTCGGCTGTAATACGGATACTGTCCCTGCGCTGATCACACTATCGCGCTGATTGCGAGTGTCCTCCCAGCCGAACTCGACTCCCAGTGCCCGCTCTACATCAGCTTTAGTATACGAGCTTGACCGTTGTCGTACATATTCGTCGAATTGGGTGTCACGCTTGTGGTCGTAGCTCGCACGGCGCTCCGTCATCGGTCCTATCACAGGCGGAGTCTGTTGTGGTGAAGGGGGGTGGCTACTAAGTGCTAAAGAGATACGGTGACTGGCGGCGGATAGCGATCGTGGCCGAGTTACCGTTACGGAAGGATTTGTTGGATCGTACGGCACGGGAGGTTCAAGCCACGACGATCGATATGCTGTTTCTTCAGATTCCTCGGTACTAGCATAGCCATACGGCTTGATATTGCCGGGGATATGGTAGTCATCATAACTCAATAGCCGACGATAGATGGTGACCGAGTAGAACGTAGGGATGATCGTGAAGAACCTGAAAGGAAACCTGTCAGCAATTATATCCCACCTCCTCAAGATGCTTACAACTCGGGCTGTGGCTTACATGAGGATGCAGTCCATCACCAACCCAATTAACGAGTATCGCCTATCGGCATACTTAACATAAACCACAATATCAAGTGCTAGAACAGCAGATGTAAGGGCTAAGTTTATGATGTTTCCAAACAACAACGGTAACGGTGTCAACACCTCTGCGATGAACTTTGCTATCGAAACGAATACTATAACGAGGGAAATGAACGAGAACGAAACGTTGACCGTTTCCCATCTGCAATAGTTTAGGTTAGCTAACCGGTTTTTTTTTGGTTTTTTTTTTTTTTTTTGTAATTCATCAATGCCTATATCCAAAGCTAAGAACCAAAGTGAATGTCTTTTAGCACTTACACGAACTCTACTGTAGGATCCTGGCCTTGAGCTTGTTGATCTCGCCACGTTTTGGACGTCCTAGAAAGTCGATAGGAGAATAAACCCATCATCCCTAGCAAAATTAAGATCTGAATCGCCCAGCATGGTAGGAGTATCCTCTTCCTCCACTTTGCTCGATCAAACTGCGCATTGTCCCGGTGTGTGTAGCCCATCTTCGACTTTGAATGTGCCTAATGCCTTCTTTAAATATTTCGGAATAGCGGTCTAACAATCTCGTCTTGACACAGTAGAAATGAGTATTTGGCTTTTCTTAAGCTCTTGACTGATGGCTTCCTATAAACACGTCCTAGGACTCCATCTTCTGAAGTATAAAATAGTTACGAGGTTACGGCGATCGGTATCGTGGAGCGACTGGTAGGTAATATAAAACGGAATCTAATGCAGCCTTACGAGACAAACCCGCGTGGGAGGTATAGGTTCTATATAAAGTCTCCCACGAAAAAGAAAACTGGGTAGTAAAGCAAAGATGGACCACAAGCATAGCCTCAGTAATTCCCATCCCGCAAGTCCTATCCAAAGCAAGGTTCTTATTGGAGGCTCCAGTAGGCGGCATTGCTGGAAATTACACCAACCAGATTCTATCTTCAGCCGGAGGGTTGTGTCTCGAACAAGGCATACAACTACAAAGACTATGAGAGGAGGTGCCTGTTGACAAGACAAAGCTTGTATTATTGCTAATACAGAACCGGAGAAGAACGCCTTGCGTTGGTGCCAACACCGGCTTCGGTAACAAACAATGGTGATTGGATCACTACGTGATTCGTCTGACGACTAGCATCCACCGAATCCACATCGTGGGCTCTTGCTAACCTGAGATGGGCCATGGTAGGGCTTGGTGATGCGTTGCGGCTGAGTTTGAGCTGGAAGACCCCCGTCAAGTCGGCTAAGCTGTCCGGACCAAGGACCCAATCACGCTCTATTTCTATGATGGGGAATGGAGACTCGATGAACTGTTCAACGGGACTGACGAATGGAACTGGGAAACCTGGCCCTACTTGCAGTTTGGGTAGCATAACGGCGCAGATAATCTTCACATGAACTAGCCTAGCTTTGTGCACCAACGCATGAAATCCTTTACTCGCCCTACGCGATGAAAATCCGATGAAAATCCATGGATAATTTCCTCGGTATTTAGAAGCTAACCCCGGGTTCGCGAAGTTCGCATAGCGGGTGGCACGGATTTTGAATTGGCGACCAAAACATAAGTTTCCGGGACTGTCACGCTCGTTTACGATGCGGTGGGGAGATTCATTTTGTCCCAGAACTCTCTGACCTATGTAATGATGTAAATGTTTCCCCTGTTCGAAAATTGCTGGTATTATTTACCCCAGTTCTTCTAAGGCAGGGACATCTTCATGAGCCAATAAGGACTCTAGCCTCGTGGAGTGTTGCTAAACTTGGACATAGCACGGTTATAACAAACATCGATACCTTGCGATGCTAGGGATTCCATCGCGCGGCCCGCACCTGGGGCTGTGCTTCGTCAGGACGACACCGAATTGGTAATAAAGACCTTTTGGAATGAGCCGAATTTAGAACTTGTAGAGCGTGATCATAATTTGGAATGAAGAAGTGAATAGCATCTCCATACTTAGAATCACCTGATTAAGATATCAGGCCATCAAAGCGAAGAGAAAATGTTATGCCATCATCCTTCGTTGGCGGCGAGTTCGGCAGTCTGGAACCCAGGCTACTACATACATACATACCTACATACATACATAGAGATGTGGTCTATAAAGGTCACCTTAAATTCCGAATAGTTAGTCCCTCGCCGACTAGACAAGCCCGAACTATTCCTTCTGCTGTAGATAGCCTGTTGAAAGCCTATCTCATTGAAGATAACTAGCATAAGGTATTAACTTTCGTGATTACTGGTTACGGAGGATTCTAATACACAATATGCTGCGGGTATTCAAAGCTAATTCAGCACGACGCAAGATGTAACCTAGAACAGTTCTATGTTTAGGTGATAATTATTAACAAGATATTCACAAATACTCTAGGTATAAGTTCAAGCTCGGCTCGTAATATCGAGCCCTCTCCCACTCTAATTCCATTGCTCATGTGCCTCCTTTGCCTTCTCGGTGTGGATACTGTGTCCTTGACGCCAATAACCATTCTTCATTACGTTGTATTCGTTGTATTTCTTGACGTGCTGGGAAGGATTCGGAATGTACACGTCGAACATGCAACGACTCGACGATCTTCACCCACACTGCCTGCGCCGCACTTGAATCACGTTTATGCGGCAGGGTCCTTGGCGACAGTAGCAGCGTTGAAAGCAACGATGTTTCCGCTAGCGTCGACCATGGCTGCGGTCTGGACTTTTTCTCCGCCAGCCTGTCGTGCAACGACAGCCTTCTGCGACCGGGGAACTTTGGCTATGATGGCGGTTAGCATACACACATTATCCATTGCATTGATTCCCGTCAGCTTACTGAGCTCCGCCATGGCGACGGTGGTGAAAAGACCGAAAATAATGACTGAGACCTTCATGTTGACTGGATTGAAGTTTTTTCTTGTTGGAAAATCGAAGGAATGGTATAGGTCGGCCGGCGACAAGCTTGTGCGAATATATTGCTAAAGCGAAATGAAAGTATGATCAACTAGAGTGTGACTATAACTCGCAGAGGATGAGGAAAGAAAACAGAAACATAAAACGGGACGTGGACTAGACGTCCTTTTGTATGATTATGCCGGGACGAAGTTAAGATGTCTACGGAAGACAAACGCCTTGGATTTCAGATTTCGCTCTTCACTTTTCACCTTTCACCTTTCCAATACTGATCTTCGACACTTGAGACGTACGGATAGCCCATTTCCCGTCAGCACTACTTACTTGATCGGGTAACGACTCTCAGGGACGTTCAGGGTGAGACTGCGCCTCAACATGGCCCAGAGCTCAGATTGTGATTGTTATGTATTGAAGAAACAAACAATAGACCCTCGCAGTCCCAGATGACAGGGACACCAGCTGTCCTGCTGGGGTATAGATCTTCATATCTATCAAGATCTTTCGAACAGAAGGTTGTTAGGCGGATACTAAGAAGCTAAACTGCAGCTAGAGATGATAAGAACTGGGCGAGACGCGCGGAGGTCATTGACAGACAAGGGACAGACAAGGGACAGACAAGGGATAGGCAAGGGTATGAGACGATGCTGTAACAACTTGAAATGCTTATTTTGAGCCGCGCTGTTATCTAGGTAGCATTGGTAGCATTGGTGGTACTGGTGGTGCTGCGATGCAACGCTGCGGGTGTAAACAGTCAAACAATCTTGGCATCGAAGAGCTGATCAGGGACGGCACTCCAGCTTTCCGTGTTCCAAGATGAACCTTGTACGAGGACTGGGCCATGCCTTAAAATTTGGGGGTGCCTACCTCTTAGACAAAAAGCAGGGATCAAAAGAAGATTGACAATTCGTCATCGAGTTGGACGTTATTTGGGTTATCGGATTTTACATAGTAGAACGTTACATAGTAGAACGTCTATGCGAAAAAAAAAAAAAAAAAAAAAAGGTGAGACGAGATTATCAAAGTCCAGACCGCTTATCTTCTTTAATCCCCTCCCTTAATTTTCGGGTAGTTCCCGTACCCCCGTGCCCCTATACCCCTGTCTGTATGTATGTATATACCTACCTACGTACATATCATAATTAGGTTTTCTACCTAACGGAGGATGCTTAGCCACAGAGCACGAGCCACGAGCCACGAGCCACGAGCCACAAGTCACTAGGTTACAACCTAGGTAGTCATATCGAAGCCTCTAATTTCTAATTTTGTTCATATGTTTTAACCCAGGTACATGAATGACGAGAATTTGGCTGTCAGCCAAGAGCCATGTTCAGGCTCTTAGGTGTCGGATCAAAAGTTTTAACACCCCTAATATTCTCGTCGTCGAAATCGCCAAGTTGGCGCTGGCAACCTATTTCAAGTCTTACTCCCCGAAATTGGAGCGCGCCTTGCGGTCTGAACTACCACACGATGTCGGTTGTTGATCTAGGTCGTCTGCAAGATCTGCGACACACCAGACATTCGATAACACTCTCTAATGGCAAGCGCCTTGTTCTCTTCCGCCTGCCTAGAATTGATCGGCCGGATGTAACGCTACCAGCTGTGGAAAGTCCAGATTCATGGAATTACTACGCAATGGAGGCAGAGTGTCCTCACGCCGGTGGGCCAATGGCAGATGCTCACATAGACATCGAAGACTCGTCCTACATTGCCTCTTGCCCGTGGCATGCGTATGACTTCAACGTAGAGACTGGTGAGTCTAGTTATGGCATCAAAGCCTGCACGTTTCCGGTCACTGTTCAAGATGAAAGAGTGAGCATACAAGTTGCAGGAGCTGAAAATTTACAACTCGACAAGATCGAGCCCGTCAGCGAGAAAGTGAAATTCAAGCATGGTCCCAGAACTGATCCTTCAGGTCCTGCAACGTATCTTGGTGAGGATGCGAGCCTGTGCGATTGGTGCAACCATATTCTAAATACCTCCAATCCCGAGCACAAGATCGAACTTACGACCCATCTCTTCTCCTTATTTGCAACACGTGAACAGTCATCTTCGCTCATGGAGATCAGGGGTGGTACTGTGGTTCCCCCCCAAGAACCGCCAAGACAAAACTTGACCCAAGTGAAACCGGGGCAGATGCCCAGAGCTGGCAAGGGAGGGAACCTTAAAAACAGGATCATGATGCTCCATGCTCTGGCAAACATCGAGCAGTGGGCCATCGATCTCGCTATCGATATCATGGTCCGGTTCGCTTCATTTCGAACAGCAACACGGGATGAGAACGACCACCCACGTTCACTACCGCGAACGTTTTTCTACGACTGGCTTAAGGTTGCGAATGATGAGGCAAAGCATTTCTCTTTACTACGGGCTAGGTTAGAAGAGATGGGGAGCCATTTCGGTGCTCTGCCAGTCCACCACGGTTTATGGGAATCTGCCATAAGAACATCGCACGACCTGCGCGCAAGGATAAGCGTCATCGCACTCGTCCACGAAGCTCGCGGCCTCGATGTTAATCCCAAGACGATCGAAAAGTTCCAAAATGCCAAAGATAGCGAAAGCGTCGATGCATTAAACGTCATTCATAACGACGAGATTACGCATGTCACTACGGGGCATAGGTGGCTCACTTGGATTTGCCAACAAGAAGGCACCGATCCGGTTCAAGTCTTCCGAAGCAACGTGCAGCAACACTTTAGAGGGGCCGTGAAGGGTCCGTTCAATGCCGAGGCCCGACAGCAGGCCGGTATGGATAAGAGCTATTATGAAGACCTCCAGGGGCTCCCGTGGAAAGGTGATATTATCGCCGGTGGTTGAATTATCTATGTCCTCACATTTTAGGTTGTCCTCGTATGGACTAAATCTGTTGGATAATGTCATACAACTAGAGGAATATCAAAGCATCACTAACCTGATACTAGTGACGCTAAACTGAGAGTTACATATATTTCGGTATTATCTGAGCGACTTACTCGTGGCTCTTGGACGTCCTTTTTTCTGAATCGCAAAGTTGTCATTGACTGCTATTATATTTGCGTTACTCTATGGTGACAGTTGAGCTGTTATTGTTTCTGATATCTATCGAAACGGAGTTATGTAGCCAAGGCGACCAGTTACCTAAAATAAACCCAAGTCAGTAGGTTAGCCGACTGGGAAAAGGGAGGAAATAAGGCTGATAATTTACCATAACTGCTATTTTTAGTATGGATCTACAAGGTACATACAAATTACATAGTGCAGTGAAAAGAAGTTATGAAATAATTATGCGTCATATACTTTGGTATACTTTGGTATGCACATGCACCTAATCATAATGTCAGGCGCTTTCGAAACGATCGCCTAACCTGCTAACCTGCTAGCCTAGGCCTAGGGAAAGCGGGGTGGCCTGTTAATTCGAGATGGTTGATTATTTATCGCAACCTAACTGCAGCTAGGTACTAACCTGATACTAACCTGATTACCTATTTAACCTACCTAACCTAGGTTAGGTAGTTGCTAGTTCACCCGCCAGCTTCCGATTCTCTCCTCTACCAACTCTTACGCGCTCTTTTGACTCGATTTTCGATTTTCGATTTTCGATTCTCGATTCTCTCGGTTTCTCAAAGCCTTTCCCGACTTCCTTCCTTGGACACTCCCTCGGAAAGGCTAACGATTAGCAAGCAACAACTGATCATGGCTACAGTACCGCACTGTCTCTACTGCTTCGAGACGCTTGCTGCGTACCTTGAGGGCCGCAAGTCTATGAGCCTTAACGAGATTGTGAACACGTGGGTCGAGTACAACAAGGATACAGAAGCCGGCGTCGAAGATGCAAGCAAATACGAAAGCCTCGAGAAGCGCATCCCCGCTCTTAGACGAGTAGTCGGTTCTGAGTCCTCCGAAACAAGCAGCTCGTCCTCGCCTTCTTCAGGCTCAACCGTTTCCCTTGCAACCGACACAACCACAACCTCTACAGATTCACTCCGAGAACCCATTATTACCGAATCCCCGCTATTCGTCACCTGGAACACCGTGTCCTCTCGCACCGGCAATACTTCCCTACGAGGCTGCATCGGGACGTTTGAAGCGCAGGAGCTTGACGAAGGACTATCATCCTACGCCATCACCTCGGCCATCAACGATATGCGCTTTGATCCTGTCAGCAAGCGAGAATTGCCCTCTCTCGAGGTCGCCGTTACGCTACTAACCGATTTCGAGGACTGTGAGGACTCGATGGACTGGGAGCTCGGTACGCACGGACTGCGCATAAGCTTCTCGGAACGAGGCCGCCGTTACGGCGCAACTTACCTGCCGGATGTTGCTGCAGAGCAAGGGTGGACTAAAGAGGAGACTCTAGTCAGCCTGATGCGCAAGGCTGGCTGGGCAGGCCGCAAGGAAAAATGGCAGACCGTTGAGCTCAAGGTAGTGCGCTACCAGGGCAAGAAGAAGTCCTTATTATACTCCGAGTACAAGCGCTGGCGCGATTGGGTCAGCCAGAAGAGCGAGGACAACGACGACGACGAAGACGAAGAAGATGAGGCATAGAAAGACAGACATGCTACATACACTATCGCGGGTGCACTCTCACTGGGGAGGTGCAAATACATATTCGGTGGACGGCGTTGGCGCATGAGGGATGGAAGGGAGTCTAGAGTTTGGCGTCTAGAACAGCAGCATCCTAGGTGGGTGATTTGATGATACAGGTAGATTTTGGTCTTTTTCGGTGCCTTTCCGTTGTGCATGTTATGTTCGCCTAGTCGTTGAATTTTACCTAGTAAAGTATTCCACGACTTATCACAAGATTGGTATTATCTATCCACCCCTTCAGCTCTTTAATTAAAATTATAGTCTCCAACATTACATCTGTCGCGCAGCTCCGTTGGCCTGGACACAATATCGCAATTTAGCTGCGCTGTTCGATCGATGAAGGGACGTAATCCTCGATGTTTAAGATCTCATACCAGCGACGATCTAGGGGATAAGGGAACCAAGCCATCCCCTGGCATGGAACCAATGGACCTCCCTTCTTCTAGAACTCCTGGTTGCTATATCGACATACATGTCTTAAGGAATTCTTCTTTCTGCCACGCGAACCCGCCGGATCGCAAAAAGAATGTCTCTGGGGAATGGCCCCTCCATTCTTCAGGTTAATTTACCGCCGACTAGTTAGGGGCGGCCGTCTCCTAGTTATCGCATTCAAATTCCACGACTATTGGCTTAATATACTTCATGATGCGTTGCTCCAAGAGTTTTAATACTGCTCTTCCTTCCTGTTCTGTGCACTTGTTTGCAACTACGGTGTTGCGAAACTAACTGATTGACTACTTCTGAGGTAGCATGTCGTTTTCTCACCCGCTCTTCTTCATAGCTGCGTCTACGCTAATTGGCGTAGGACGGGCGGTTACTTTCAAGTCGTTTAATGGAACGCATGATGGGCCTCTAAATGCGACGAGTCTTCCAAAGAGTACTCACGAGGTGCTCTCGCTGCCCCTGAGAAAGGTCGAACACAATGGTGTTGGGACGCCTAGTCTAGCGAGACGATATTTTGGATCGGATGTCCTAGGTGTCTACGGTGCAGCGTATTTTGCTGAGTGTATGAGTTCTCGTCTTGCCTTCATTCATGTCGTTAGCAGGAAAGCTATAAGATGGGTTTCTAACAAGCAAACAGTGACAATTGGTACCAGCGGCAACCCACAGACCGTCAATGTGCTGCTGGATACGGGCTCGTTTGAACTCTGGGTTAATCCAAACTGTAGCGCAACCAGTGTGCGGCAGTTCTGCGATGAGTTCGGACATTACGATCCTACGCTGTCATCTACGTCTAAGAATCTAAATCAGACCTTTATGATCCAGTATGGGCTGGGTAGTGCATCGGGCACTTATCATCAGGATGATATATTTATCTCTGGTAAGTTAAAGGTTAGGATAATTAAGCTCAAGGATGTGGAAAAAAAGTGGAAAAAGGGTGGTATACGACGATGGGCTGTTTGAATAACCTTTGCTAATGATGGAAACTCAGGGGCGAAACTCGCGGGCCAACAATTCGGAGTTTCAAATACATCTAGCGATGTTTGGTTTGGTATCCTCGGCTTGGGCCATGGTAAGGGGCACGGCGTTATCGACTATGAATCTATCGTCGACTCGTTGGCCGCACAGGGGTATACGGATAGCAAGTTATTCAGCTTGGATCTGGGTGGCCAACCTGGGCCTACCGGTGAGTAAACTCCACGGCTTGTGATTGTGTGATACAATCTCTGTTAGTGCTATGTATAGGAAATATAACCGCTAACGCATAGCAAGCCGCTATCACGGGAGAAATGGTTTTCGGTGGTGTCGACACCAACAAGTACGCAGGAAACCTAGCGAAAGTCCCAACAGATCCTAACGACGCGTATGTTCTCTTATTATCTCCAAGTCCGGTGCTTTTGCGTATTTTATATATCTACTCAATGTAGCGTGAGTTGGTACATTTACTTATTATTGACAATTTCTAGGCACTACGTCGCAACGCTGAACTCGATCTCCCTCCAAGTTCCCGCTTTCGGCTCCGGCTCCGGCTCCGGCTCCGTCAAGACCATCTCCCAAAGTATCAAAGCGATAAATGACTCTAAGTTACCATTACAAGTTATTGTTGACTCGGGGACTACCCTCTCTCTACTACCCGAGTCCATGGTCTCAGCTATAGCTGCCGGCTTCCCTGGTGCAGAGCCAGATGGAAATGGCGGATATAAGGTGCCGTGCGAGCTACGGAATACTACGGAGGGCCGTGTAGATTTTGAGCTCCGTGGGGATGGCAACGACAACGTCAAGATCAGTGTTAGTTACAGCGACTTTATCTGGTACGGCGGTACCGAATGCTTCCTGGGTGCATGGTATACTAGCGATGTAGGTGTATGGATCTTAGGGGATACATTTCTAAGGGGAGCATACGGTAAGTCTGCCCCTTTTTCATGTTCTATGAAACCATCAAGCAAACAAGTAGAATAACTTGATAAAAGACCCAAGTTTGAAAAGCTAATTTATTTCAAAGTAACGTTCGACCAGAGCAACAACGCGTTGTATATGGCTAATTACGTCTCATGCGGTGAAGGCTCGAACTTGGTCCCTGTTCCAGCAGGCCCGGATGCAGCGGCTAATATCCCCGGATCCTGCAAGACGGCAGAGCCGGCACAGAAGGCCCCGTCGCCTACTGCTACTTTAGCTAGTTACGATCCGGAGTGCGACTGCACTGTATTTTCTTTCTCGACCGCTTTCTCCACTGCATTCATGACAAGTACTGCGACTGCAACTACTGCGACTATCAAGAAGCAAGTGAGTGCAGCCCCGGTGTCCAGTTCGCCCGCCTCTGAAGACGACGACTGCGACGAGGACCAGGAACAGCCGCAGCAGCAGAAGCACGTCGAAATAATTACGGCTACGGAGACTTTTACGAGCACACTAGTTCGCCATGTCATATACACGGCTGGCCGCCGGATTGCCACCAGCTACGTAACAGTCGTGACAACCTTCTGCCCAGGCGACATACTTCCCCCTGCATCTACAACTCTGATCACGGGCGCGGCGCATTCCCAGACCCAAGGCCGAGTTCAGCACACTACTACGCGTCCTATCCCAAGCACAAGTATATCACCTCCTATAGAACAAGTCACGATAGCGGAGGTAACCCGCGTGGCCGAGACAGCTCCGGAGACCTTTATCACCACAAGAAATACGACGACGCAGGTAGCCACCATACTCGAGTCAGTTCACACAAACGCATACGCATATTCTTCCCCTCCCTCCTGGACCCCTCCTGCTTTGACCGAATCCATCCTTTCCACCTTCCCCATCTCGCCCCCCGCATTCTCCTCTTACTCTTCCCCGCTACCCCCACCGCCGCAAACCACCGCTCCTAACGCAGGTTTCGGCGCCGTGGGCTGGGGCTTCAACAGCACCTCTACCGCTACTGCTACCGCTACCGCTACCGCTGCCGCTGCCACGAGCACCAACACCAACACCAACACCGCCAGCGCCAACTACAACTATAACGTAGCAGGCGTAGCCAACGTCGGCGGAGCCGCAAGCCAAGCCGTCGGCGCCGGCGCCGTGGTCGCGCCCGCGGTCCCGACGACGACACAGAGCTGGTACTCGCCTATGCCGAGCGGGATGGCTATGACTACGTCCGAGGCGGTGAAGAAGACGCTAGGCGAGGTAGTAGTCGGGCTGTGGACCGTGATGATGGTGATGGTGATAGGGCGGGCTGTGGGGATATGAGTCTAGCTCGGGTTTTTCTCTTCTCTTCTCTTTGCTTTGCTTTGCTTTGCTTCTTTCTGACTTGTCTTTTGATACCGATGCATGATTGAATGAAATGAAATAAACGTACGAATCGAGAAGCGGATAATTGAATAATAGGAGAGGGAAATTGGGGAGAGGGGGGGGGGATCTTTAGGGGAGGATATACATTAGAACGGACAGGTTGATCAGTGGCTTCGACATTTGGATTGTGGGATATACCTCGGTTTTGTTGCGGAGGAAAGCCGGACAAGAGGTAGCTTTTGTGGCCAGGGAGAAAGGAGATACTTTGATAGATCATAGATAATAGATAGCTCAATCAATCAAACATTTTAAAATAGTTACCGCCCGGGGCTGCTCTCAACGATACCAATGACCGTGAACATACCAGTATAAGCGGCGATAGGTATAGAATTAGACTCCTACTTAGTATTCAGGGATTCGCATAGCGGATCATTCAGACGCAAATACGCAAAAATGTAGAACAGCGAGTCAATATTATTATGCCACACGAAGTGCCTATATTTTTTTATTGAAGTCCGTCCCATCCACCGAGTATGCAGCCCGAGCCCAAGAGGGAGGAACCCAACAATCGCAACTCCCGAGACGGTAGCTAGAGATAAAAGAAAATGAGGACGCCGATGTATAATCATACCTCTCGCATGCCACCATGTAAACGCCCGTGTAGCCCTGGGATACAAATGTTGTCTCAGGGGAAAACTCCGTTCGGTTCTTCCCCCAGCCAATACACTGTCTAAGCCAACGTCAAAATCGACAAACCGACTCGAATAATGCGAGCTCGGTGTTAGTAATTCATCCGCGCCGAAACAAAACAGTTTCATGAATTCGTTAGGTATAGGTATTCCAACCGTACATCTGTAGCACTAACTTCCTTCAACTCGGAATAGCAATGCTTTTTTCGCTCGCTCGCTCGCTCGTTCGGCACTTTGTGTTGAAAGCTCAAAAATAGCACCTCAGCCATATGCTCCTTTTAAACTCCACTCGCCGTACGCGGGGATTGACCAATTGGTCTAAACAATAAGAGGGCAGAACCCGCCCTACCAACACCGTAAGCTTCTCCAGAATCTATCCCTCCTGCTTCCAAAAACTCTCTGACCGTCGCCAATTCGTGGACCCCTTGTCAAACCTGAACGCCCAGATTTTTCGTTATCCATGTCGCGGTCATCGCTATCGCCGAGCGGTGTCAGGGGTTTTGTGACGCCACGACGGTCCATATCGGTATTATCGAGGACACCCATTTCAGCAAGGCGACGGCTTTCGACAACTCGGCGGACGATGAGGGCGAATGTCTCTTCGATGTTGACCTCGAGCCGAGCACTCGTCTCCATGAAACCGCAACCGCGTTTCCGCGCCCATTCGAGTCCCTGAGCTGCTGACACCTGCCGCGACTCTTGCAAATCACACTTGTTACCAGCTATAATCTTGACCGGCGGTATCGTCCTTGCACCGCTACCGGCTCCTCCCAACCCTATACTACCTCTTCTCGCGCCTCCACCCGCCCCCAGGCCGGCCCGCCGTGCCCGTGCTGCGTTATCAAGACGCGTTTCTGCCTCCATGTCTATGAGGTCGTTGAAATAGTTCAAGGCATCGAGACTGTCGAACGACGTGATGTCGTAAACAAGAAGGAAGGCATCAGCACTGAGATTGGACGACGCCCACATGCCCCGATACTCCTCTTGTCCAGCCGTGTCGGTCAGCGATAGGTGGTAGGTGGTGCCATCAATACGCCGGGTGATGCTATAGCTATCTTCGATGGTCGGGTCGTACTCGGACGTCCATTGGGACCGAACTAGTCGGAGAGTTATCGACGACTTACCGCAACCTCCGTCACCGCATATTGTGATCGATATGGGCACCGGTGGTTGCGAGGTAGGCGATTGTGGTTGATTCTGTTGTTGATTGTGGTGCATTTCTGCGTCTGTTTCTTCCTCTTTTTTTTTGTCTACTATTGTTCTTTTTTCTCTATTGTTGGGTTCTATCTCTCTCTTACGTGGATAGCTGTGTCTAGCCAGTAGATGGCTAGGTTAAAGGAGACTGGTCGTCACGGCGGGTAAATGGGCGAGTATGTAGGAGAATATAGGGTTTGTTATCGGAGGATTGTTCCTCTGCTAAAGGCGGTAAGGACTGTAAAGTTCGAGAAAAGGCAATGGCGGTATGCGTGATGGAGGTAATGTAGTAAAAGATGAAATCACAGCCTATTCTTTTCTTGTTCTTCCCCCTTCGCTTTCTACCGCTGCAAGCTGCAGGGTACGACAGGCTCTACTTGGCGCTGCTCCACTGGCACTCAACGGGTTTTCCCCGTTTGGGTCCAACCGCCGTTTAAATTGTCCTATAAAATACGGATTATAGCTGTCTCTCAGGGACTGAGCCAGTCCGCCGGGTAAGCAATGAAGAGATATTAAGTTACGGTTCTTTATAACTAAGCAAAGTCCTCAACGATGGATGCCGGGTTAAGTATGATCTCGAATACGGTAATATGGATAATATGGATAATATGATAGAGAACTGGAAAGAATGGTTCCTGTATATGTCAAAGCGAAGTGAATCAGGTTTGAGTTAAGTCGAACTAATGCGCGTAGGGTAAACGTGAGGGCGGATGTGAATCGGAATTGTAGTATGTAGGATGTGATGTGTGATGCGATTGGAATTGTCGAAACGTGTGCTCGGACGCGAACCACAACTCAATCGTTTAAATAAAATAAAATACCTACCTTAGTTTAGGTTTAGGTTGTATGTATACAAAGCAAAAGGGAACTAAATTCGTAGCGAATAGGTATCCTAAAAGAGGAGGTGGGGATAAAGTTGAAGTTGAAGTTGAAGTTGAAGATGAAGATGAAGATGAAGATAAAGATGAAGATAAAGATGAAGATGAATGTAAGTCGAGAAGGCGAAGAAGAAAAAGAGGCATAAAACTAAGTTGAAGCTAGGCAAAATGAGAGAATCGACAGCGGTGATACTGATATGTACATTGATACACCGATACCACCCAGACGGCTGGGGCAGGTACAACTTGCTGCAATAGCTGCAGGTAGTTTTGTATCCTGGTTTGTACCCAAGTTTGTACCTTGGCTACACGTAATTACCTCGAGGTATGTAGGCATGCACCTTGCTTTAGGTTAGGTACCTACCTACCTAGGTACCTACCTAACCTGTAATTGATCCTGGGTTAGGGTGGGTACGTACCATGATACAGTAATGAAATGGGAAACCACCGTGGTGGTAACAGCGGTGATAGTGGGGGTTAACCTCCTTAGTGGGGTAATAAAAGGGGTCTTAGGGTTTTTAGGGGTTTAGTTGCATTAGCGGCACAATTTGACATGCCGGAAACGCGGTTCAATTCGCTAATTTCATCTGCGCTACCCCCTTCATCCGGGATTCATGATTCATTCAGTATTTCTCTGCGCTCGAGCCTCGCATTTTGCTGATCGTCGATATATAACACCTACATATAATCTACATATAATCCCCGAAAGACTAGGAACGACGGTCTTCTCGCAAACGCCGGGGAAACGGAACAAAAAGATCGGACAGCTGATCGACGAAACATAATCTCGAGTCTCCGCTTACCAAGAGATTCAATACATATTGAACCGATCTTTTAGGATCGATATCGAGGATCAATATGAATTTTCAAAGATCTAGCGAATCTACAAGGTCCGTGAGAACCTATACCTTCTAGGATATATGAGTGGGTTAGGTAGGTAGGTAGTTGTAGTAGGGTAGTAGGTTGATGGAGATTAGAACGAAACATGGAGATGTGGAGAGGGAAAGGCAATGTAGCATTCGCTTGTAATAAATTACCTTTACAAGACTGGACTGAAGGTTGTGAAGACCTGTGATGGAAAGACTTGGAGACTTATCACAAGTTAACCTCAAGCATCAACCAGCTTAGTTTCACTCGCGACTGGCAATGGCAATGGCAATGTCATGGTCAGACAGGCAACCTCAAGCTGACGTATAAGAAGTTAAATGCGAAACATCAACCTAGGTACGTGGATGTATCAATCCGATGATTGTTCCAGTACATGTATGTTAGAAAAAGCAAGATTCGTTTCTCCCCGAGCTATAAGTCAGTATATAGGTACAGTGGGTGTAGCACGAATGATTCGAAACAGCAAGCAACGCCTGGCGATCCAATTCGTCATGTTCGTCATATTAAATAGGCGTGCAGCCATTCGGGTTTAGGTATCACTTACATACTACGGGACAGGCCGTCGAATAAAAAGGAAAATAACATATGCCTCACATATCACATAGGAAGTTTGTGTTGGAGGAGCCTCTTCCTTGCTCGTCAGACGTCATGTCTAGAGCCGCCGAGGTTTGTGATGATAGTTTCCTGTCAGCTTTGATAGGCACGGCTTCCTTTTCCGCCCACCCTCCCCGCTAATCCTAGTCGTTCTAGTCCTGCAGGTCAAGACGCAAAGTGCTACGGTAGTGCCCTCTCGTGGGATCCCAAAACCAATTGGGCATAATGATTCGAGATATAGGGCGCCACCATTGATAGGTGGCGAGAGACTTCTAGGTACTAAACCAGTATACCCCAACGATGATTGAACCACATGCTCTCGTATCAACTAATATTTCAAGTATAACTAAAACTTGTTATTAACCTGGGTAGACGATCTGAAGCATGTATCCCCCCTGGCCAGACTGACCGCCCCAAAAATAGGTAGCTTCACGATGCAGCAGCCTAAGCCTGGCCGGCTGCATTGGACGGTCTTTTCAAACGTGTTAACAAACGTGTTAACAAACGTGTTAACCCACGGATGGCCTATTTCTATCTGGACACAGCTCCCCCTCGACTTTCTTACAAGCCTAAGGAGCAAATGCTACGTGTCGGATCAAGTTCCTGCAGCTTAAGTCTTGCAGAACCCGCCACGATGGTTACGGCAAGGAAACGTGGTAGGGTTGACTTCCATGTCGGGTCGTGGCGCAGCTGTTTCGTACGTATTTCGTACACATAAGAGGTAGATTGTAGTCGCCAACTCGCTAAGCACCGCTGCCAGGGGATGACAAGATAGATCGGAGAATTTCTGGCGGATCACCACGGCACTAAATAACAACAAGCTCGGCAAGAGTTTCGACAAAGCAGCCTAGTCCAAGAGCTATTGAGTGTTAAAATGAGATAGAAATCTATTACCCCCCACGTGCGTTCAGGGATTAGACCTTTAGAGCGGCCATAGCGTGCTCAGAATCCAAGGTCCAGAACAAGTCTGGACTCTTGTCACCAATCATTGATTCGGGTCGCCCCGCCATATGAAGTCAGTACATATGTATTTAGCTACCTATGGAAATGTCATTTGAAGATTGCCGTGTATATAGTTGGCTGTTAAGATCCAACGACTAAATACCTACCTACGTATAAGAAAAATGACAGGTAGTTTCTATATACAGTAGATACAACAGTTACCAATAAAATAAATGTTTCAGCTACCTGGATCCCTTCTGCAAACATGAAATCATAAGATGTAACTATGTAACAAAACATGAAGCATCCCAGACATCGACGAACCCATGTAGATACCGGCATATCTTTTCACTAGAAAAGAAACTAAAGAAGAAACTAGAAAAGAAAAAGAAAAGCCTAATACACTAGTGTACAAGATAGATTTGAAACGGTCTAGATCCAATTACATGCTGTATATGCTGTACTTGCTACTTTAGGTAGGTGGTCGTTGCTCGGTGATGGCATTATTTGCGGAGGTTGCGTCGCATCGGCAGGCAATTGAGGCGGGCATTACAAGTCCAGTGGTACAGAGACGACGAAGCGATGTGACAAGGCAACTCAATCTCATATCTCCTTTTTGACGACCCAACAACACCTAGGCCCCCCCTCGTTTCTCACTACGCGAGGCCATCGTGCATCGGCAGGTTGCAATTGCGTCGGCCAGGCATACAAAGCATAGCATTTGGCTCGGCCCTATTGCCGGACTCGATCGAGTTCAAGTAACAGGTAATGTTTGCCAAAATTATGATGTGATAGCAGCAAACGAGATATCAACCTGATATTTCATAATACGCGTTAGGGTATGCAGACCAGAGATCTAAGCTAGGACTTGCTTTTGGGAATCGTATGTGAGGTCTCGTGCCGGACGCACACGGTTGGTTTAAGGGGTAAGAGTTTACGTATTGACATATTTTGGCTTAACCGAGACTTCGCCGCCATTACTGTCCATCAATTTGAATACAATATGTGATGGGTCAGTTAGACCGCCAGAGCATGTCTAAATGCCATCTAAGGAGTTTTTAGCATCAGACAAATGGGTTGGGGGTTTATAGATGAGTACCTCCTAGGCATACGGTCAGAACTAGCTACATTCTTTATTCTCTAACTCAACCTGCTACAATCTACAACAATAGGAGATCTAACTTCTTTCGTCGGTAGGTATGCTGGCACCCCCCTATCCATCGGGCTGTCTATTGTACAGTCCATACGCAACGGAAAGGGGGGCGGTCAAGATAGTCATTTCGTACAACCGGTATTACATGATATCATGGCCAAACCCTCCGAGAAAATTGAAAAAGGGTGTTAGTCCTAGCTATTGTCGGTAAGGTCTCCCCTTAAGGCTTAATCGACAAATCAGAGGTGCTGAAAACTATCTCTACCACTCAAAGTCGAATGATAGACATTGCTGCTACTTTGACACCACTGGTGCTCTTAGTTGAAACTAATGAGTCGGCTTGGGTTCATAATATTCTGGCTAGCCCTCTGCACGTTCTCAAACCTGGTGTATCCGCAGCTTTCGCTCTCGAGATGATTCATAAGAGCAGCTAGTGAGACAAACTCACGACCACAGAAGAGCCGGCTAGGGCAATGATAGAGATTTTGCTGGTCTACAACATTGGCAAGGTGTGAGAAAAGATCGCAAAATATATGGACTGACTCGAGGTAGATTAGTATGGGAAACACTTACGTGTAGGCGAGCTAAGGTGCTGGTTCAGGGAATTGAGTGAGCTGAATTTGCGATGGCAGAGGTAACACTCGAAGGCGTATCCATTCCACGACTCGTACGTGGCCTCGTACTTGGGGGAACCATTCCAGCCGAGCAGCTTCTTGGAGATAAGGCTGCCTGGATCTTTGGTTCTGACGAGCTTATATACTTCATCTCGATTTAGAAATGGAGCTTTCGGGCAGGCTCCTCCCTCTAAGTGGTGCGCGAGGCCGGTGGCGGATGTGTAGGCATTTTGACAAAAAGGACAATTGATGTTTATGCCGCGATGGACGCGCGAGTTAAGATGCTGGCAGGTGTTTTTCGTCAGTTCTTCGATCTCGAATGGTATACGAGCATATCCTAGGTCGAAATTAGGTACTGGATAATGGATTGTCCAACTCACCATCTTGATATTGTTGTAAGTGTTAAATTCTCGGTTACAGTCATTGCAGTAAAAGTGCTGCTTTACCTCGTGCTCTTTTACTAGTTCTTCAGTCGGCCATGTTTTATCGCAGATGCCACATTCGTAGAACCAGTGGTTCTTTGCGCTCATATGATTAACGACAGCGCTGCGGGAGTTGAAGAAACGCGAGCACCTGTCACATTCATGCTCGGGAGTCGAATGATCCAATGCATCCATATGTAGTTCTCGACTTCGCCAGGTAGCGAATTCCTGCCAGCATGTTCCGCATGTCCACGACATCTTGTTGTTTTCTAGCTAGCAGCAGCAGGGGTCTCAATGAGTATCTGGTGTTTATGCAAATGTGGGATCAAGGCTGCTAGAAAAGAAAACAGGTAGTCGGCGGACGTAATACTGCCAAGTGGTAATGGATACCTCCTTCGGGACACCTGAGAAGATTCAGACGGCCAGGCGGGAGGCCGTCATTAGCACGGGCCAATTCAAGAACCACCTGAGGTATCAGGCACTTCCAACCTGAGGCAACAGTGCAAGGTGTTTCTTGACTAAAAAGCCCGCTCACTTAGAGTTGAGTTGAAGCTCATTTGGGGACATCGAGAATAGAATCGAAAATATGTTGCCAGCCTAGGTAGGTTAGATATCTACCTATGAGGTACGTAGACAGGGCCCGTTTACATTTGGTTGCTAAGGTGAGGGGAAAAGCAAGACGTGTGCGACGTTGCTATATATATCTGCATTTTTGGTTACAACGCACGTTCCATTGTCACAACTTTAACATTTAATTTGTTGTTTTCTACGGATATTTCCGGTTCTTCACCTGCCTTTGCAGGTTACCAAGATTTAGTTGTGGATCCTAGATATTTTATAGTACATAGCACTGAAGACCAAAACCATACGCTTGCCCAGCTTTAAGTTCCGAATCACCTACGCTTATCAACATAACTGGTTACCCATTATAACAATATATCGACTGGCATTTCTTAGTGCGTTAACATTTATAGATATCTTCTGCATGGTCATATTTTCTCTTCCTTCTGATTCATTGTACGGATAGTTCTTTGGTAGTTGACTTTGACTAATACTAGATACACGAGACATAAGCAGCTAAAGATAAGGAGACAAAGCAAGTTATGGAACGTAGATGCATTAGGTAGGGAATTGTAAAGAAACTATTCGAAGAAGCATCTGTCAAGTTGTGGGGGGCGCCAAGCGAGGAGAGCGCTTAGTATCAGCTGCGCGTCTATATAAGCGGTCCTACATAAGAGATAACCTCAAGCTCGTTACACTTGCTTCTTCTAATCCTTTTAATACAACCTTTTTACCTAGGTAGGTAGTTATGAGGATCTATAAGCACCAATTCTCTTTTATCCTTACCTTATGATATGAGATATTGATCTAGTGTTAGATTTGAGGAGACCCACCTCACATCGTTACGATCAACTATGGGGTGGGAAGCGCCACTTCTTTATCCTACAAATGATATCTCGTGAAATCTGCTAGAAATTGCAAATAAGAAAAATCTACATCTGCTATATATGTGTGTGAATACCTTGTAATATCCGTACACACAAATATACGGTCAATTTATTAGCTTAACGGTAATGAGCTTATAAGACCAAATTTCAAGGACGGAGCACTGACCACATGGGTGGTATAGTATAGTGGATAGTACAACACGTTGTGGATGTGCAAATATACTGATACCGTGTAGACCTGGGTTCGATTCCCAGTACCGCCAATTTTATGTTAATTATTCTTGTTTTTATTTTTTATAGACATATGGAATAATATATTATTTAGGAACAGAGCCAAGGGTGTACTAGATATATGCATCACCCATGTAGAGACACCCATGTAGAGACTTGAACAGGGGGTTATACCTGCCCCATACAACTTCATCTCTCTACCAGTTATTTCATCCAGATCTGATTAACGTAACTTGAGTAGTTCGGGTTTTTTTGGGGGTGGAGGGGAGGGGGTAGTTTACCGCCAGAATTTACTGACATAGGATCTGAGTCCTTCATATACGAGTGATGATCATATCCCTTCAATGAAAAAGAAGCCGATTCAATGGTGCTCAAACGAACCAATCGAATTAATGTATTATGCTTACCAATGTGTCCCAATATTGTTCGACTAAAATGGTTATAATCTATCTTCAACCGCCCGCTCAGGATAATCCTCATGCCATCCTGATATTTCGCCGCTTTCTTCGCCGCTTCGGTCGATCGTTACAGCGGTTGGCTTGGTAATTTCATTAGTCTTCTGTGTCAGTATGCTCTCCTCGCATATATTGGTTGCCAAGCTTTTCGGAATAGCTACGCGTTGGGCGTCTACCTCCGTCCTTGTCTGGGAATGTGAATGATTGGATTCCTTAGGGCCTGTACCGTGAGCATAACCGTGGAGATTGTATGCGTCTTTCTTTCGATACGATCCGTAGCGAAGAGAGCTGTGTAACATGGTTTTGAACATCGGCTTTATACATGGTAGAGACGCGGCGATGATTCCTGTGTTTGTTTCGACCCTGCGGTAGAACAGGTGTTAGAGCTGCTTTTTGCGGGAACTAGGAGCTTCAAATGCTTACACGATCCATATGGTTAAGTTGGCTGAGTCCCACAAGAAGTCACCAGTTTTTCCATAGTTTGAAATAAAGACAGCTTTGACAATGGCCGCGGCGCATGCGCTGTAAAACAATTAGATTAGTGACCTGAAAACAACGATAAAGGGGGGATTTACAAGATACCGAGACCAAATATACACATAAGCGAAGCTTTGGTACGAGCATTAATCTTGACATTCCAAAGCATTGGGATTGGCAAGAGCGCAAAGAATAAGTCTGTAATAATGCTGATAGCTTTATTCAATGGCTTGTGTTAGCTCTAATTATATTGAGGAGAATAGGGGAGATATCTAAACTGACTTGCATTGGCGTAGCTTAATGCTTGGATTGTCAACTGTGGCCAGCACGTCGTCTGAATACGAGAGTCCCAAATTACCGCAAGGTTTTTGCATTGTAACATCAACGTCATAAAGCAAACGAAAGTGTACGTCATGAGAAACGTCATGACGCCCTGCAATATTCGCTTGTAGTATACGTTAGGGCTGATGCGGAACAAAAAGAATCCCACCGATACTTTCACCGTTGAGATAGCCCATAGGTATATTGGTTGCGTGGCGAAGTTTAACTTGAGGCCAAATCTGTTGACTTTGGGATCAAGATACGCAGCGTGGCGACCTGCTCCATAGTGAACTTCGGCGATAATGATTCCCATTCCAACAAGGGATATCAGCTAAGAGTTAGTTAGCCTCCTGTATCTAATAGCATGAAGCGTTTATGTACCATAGCTACGAGCATAACACTGTCCTAATATCAGTCAGTATAGAAGCAATACTATAAGGGATTAATATTTAGCTGTATACATCTGTCCCAAAAGCCCGAATCATTCGTAAGCGGACGTACATCCTTGCGCAAACGACGATCAGTGCAGCTAGAGTTGTCGATACCACGACCCCAGCAATATGGGGTCCTCGATTTTCATCGGGTTGGTCTGCACCGGGTATAGCGACCGACATAATCGAAGTTGGATATATATGACGTTGCTAATAGCCGTCTACTTTAGACTTTTTCTTCTATTCAGCTGAGTCTAGAGTCGCTAAAGTGCTAACGTACTTTCTGTTGTAGGAGGGAGCTCAAGTTGTCTTAGACCTCTTGATAGGGACTTGGTAAGGGCATAGTGAGTAGTATGTATCAAGGAATCTTTTACACTTGATGGGCATTGGGCAGTGCACAGCCGGGGATTTTGGATTGGACTACACTACGGCGCCGGCCCTTTAAAGACTCGACAACCAAACGGCGTGCGCGGAAAGGAACTAATATAAGTGACGCGGCTTTGTCAGGATGTCTATATTATAGCACGTCATGTTTAAATAATGACTAAAAGTCTACATAGTTTACGCACGTAAACGAGTTGGAACACGGAATAGCCCTGTAACTTATCCGTCCCCTGATTTTATTATTGGCATGATATCCTCCAACCTTTCATCGGGGGTAAAACGCTTTTTTTGGTTTGTTTTTGTTTTTTGAAAGATGTCATATCCTTAACTGGCCTAAGACTACAACCCCCCTTGTAATCGGTATAATGCAAAGACAGCCGCAACACATATGTAATAGCTCCACTTTTACTTAAATCTACAGCCGTTGATTGATCAAAGGCCCCTCACGATCAACAACACGAAAAAAATACGAAACCAATTCCTTAATATCTTACCCCCCTTTTTTTTCTTTTTTTTCTTTTTTAAAAAAAACATCACTTTTTTCAAAATAGCCTCAAATCGCTATATGTCGACAACCTCATTTCTGACCCGTCTTTAACGTGCAACTAAACGACCAAAAGCCCGTGCTAACCCTAATACAGGTATGCATTTTAAGCCTCTTGAGATCCCAGATCGTTAGCCCCAAATAGCCAAATTACCTGATGGCCCCAATCATTAGGAGATTGGATAGATATTATTAGAAACGGGGCTGGGGGAGAGGCTCAAAAACCACGTTAAAAGGTGGTAATACAAGAATACCACAGCGATATCATCGAAAAGGTATTAAAAAAACATCGTCAGCGTGCCAGGCCTGTAAAGGCAACACTATTTGGGGACGACCTCGTCGGGGACTGACTGATTTGAATGAAAGGGTTAGTAAGCAGCGAGTTCCACGAGTCAGATGAGAGCTTGACCTGACTTGTATCGAGCCATGTATATGATTATCTGACCTGATCTGATTCGTGGAACTTGCTCTGAGTAAGTAAAGTTCAACGGCGACTCATTGGAATAAAAAGAGACTTTGCGATGTGTTTTTATAACAAACATGATCAGCCGATTTAATGACGTAGAACTAGTATATTTGTAGAATTAGGACTAATTTTGACAGCATCATAGACCGAGTCGAGATATTCTTAAAAATACCAGTGAAAATACTAGTAAATAGGCCAAGGTCATTAACCTAAGGAATTGGTGTTGGCCTTATTGATCTTTGACGCCACTCTCGCCTGGTCTGTTAAAGGTAAGCGAGGTCCGGTGAGCACTAGTAGGGCTGGATATGGACCGGACTATTCCCATGGTATTGGGGCTTGAAAAGCCAAGGATTCTGGGGTTGGCTGTTAATCCGATTACTTTTTAGATCGGGTAGGTCCGGTTTCGTCAGATGTACTTCTGTCTTCGCCACGGGATAATAGCATGATTATAACGAAGATACTATGAGACATGTTTTGATGAACATACGGTGAAGAGGGGACAAAAATTCTTATAAATTCGCAGATCTTGCCCACAATCGACTATATATTAACTTGTCTAGTCTCCCGTTTCTCGTCTGGACTCAAGTAGCTCCCTCCACCCATTATGCTTATTCGTCACTTGACCTGTGCTCTACTGCTCGCGAGAGCCGCAGCAGCCCTGACTGCCGACAAAAACTCCCAGCCATTCACGGATCTAGAGAAGCTAATCGAACAGGCTAGATCGACACAGGAGCATATCTTGGATGATAGAGCTATTGCGACTGAGAAGAGGGGAGAAATATGCACTCGTGATAACCTCACGGTGCGTCGCCCATGGTACGTGAAACAATGGTTTATCCTAAATCACCGGGGCTAAACATATTTCTAGGGGCTCGTTAAGTAAAAATGAGCGCAAGGCTTATACTGACGCCGTACTCGTATGTGCTATGAGTTTTTTTCTATTATTTGAATAGTCTTAGGGGTCGAAACGTCAAAACTAGCTGATTTAACAGAGAGCTATTTGCACTAACTCTCTCCTCAAGTGTTTACAATCATTGCCGGCGAGAACTCCTGCTAGTGTAGCTCCTGGCGCTAAATCGCGGTATGACGACTTTGTAGCAACTCACATCACCCAGGCGCTACATATCCACTACACTGTAAGTACTCCATTTCGCCAGCACGAGCTAGTTATATGATTTAGTTAATTGTTGGCGATATTTCAGGGAATTTTCCTCGCATGGCATCGGTGGCTTGTGTATAACTACGAGCAGGCCCTCAAAAATGAATGCGGCTACAAAGGCTCTCAGCCGCAAGTAACTCTGACTGATAAGTAAAGGAAGCTTAGACTAACGTATAATAGGTATTGGAACTGGGCTTTATACGCGAGCGACCCGGCCTCGTCACCAATTTTTGATGGCAGCGCGTATAGCATGTCTGGGAACGGCAAATATGTGCCTAACAAAGGTATTATAACCCTGACTCTCGGGGACTTTCCTCCAATATACCTACCTGCTGGCACGGGAGGAGGATGTGTTACATCTGGCCCGTTCAAGAAAATGCAAGTAAACTTGGGTCCTGTAACCCTTCCCCTAAATAATGGCTCAGTCTTGACGGGGACTGGATTGGAATATAACCCACGATGCTTGAAGAGGGATATCTCCGCTAGAGTTAACTCTGCATATGCAAATGCTACCTCCGTTATCAGTCTCATCCTCAAGAACAAGAACATTGGAGACTTCCAAATGGTCATGCAAGGTATTCCTGGTTCTGGCTCTATCGGTGTACACGGCGGTGGTCACTACACTATGGGTGGAGACCCTGCCGACGACATCTTCGTCTCTCCCGGAGAACCAGTCTTCTACCTTCACCACGGAATGATCGATCTAGTATGGTGGATATGGCAAGCTCTGGATTACAAGAATCGCCGGGACGCCATCTCAGGGACAGGTACTTTCTTGAACAGCCCACCATCACCCAACACAACTCTCGACGACATAATTGACCTTGGATATGCCGGTGGTGGCCCGATCACAATGAGGGAGTTGATGAGTGTCCACGATGGACCGTTCTGTTATACGTATATATTATAAGCGAGCTACGATGAGCAACGGTTTAGAAATTGTCAAAGAGAGGAGTACCGCCGTCTCTTCAACGCTACAGCTTAGGAATTACCTAGCATGAATAACGACGTATTAGTGATGAATTTTAAGCAATTGTGGGAAACACACAGTTATTAACAGTAACGTTAAAAGGCCAGGTAAATTTTAATAAAAGGCCAACCCATCCACTTTCCACGTGAGATAAGAGCCAGAACCCATAACCTACTTAATTTATATTGGGATTAATTTAAACCTTTAATAATTTTAAAATATATATCGGTTATATACATTATAACATAATAATTAATTAAATAAAAATAATATTAAAATTATTTTTATAATTAATTATTAATTTATTTATAATTAAATTAAATATGTATTTATAAGCTTTTAAATTAATATATTTATATAATTAATTATTTATAATATTTAATTTATTTAACTTATTTAATTTATTTAATTTATTTAATTTATTTAACTTTAATAAACTTTATATAATTAATTAAGATAATAATAAAGTAATTAAAATTATTAATTTAATTAATTATATTAATTTAATTATTAATTTAACTATTTTATAAATTGTTAAAATGATATTAAACTGGTGTGGTGCCACATCGCCAAGAGCAAGGATATTATTATGTAATCTTAAGTTATAGGCCATATAAAGATCTAATATTTGTTGTATTCTTTTGATTAAATAGCTACAATTATTATTATTTAATTATGCATTTAATATAAATACATTTGTTATTTTCTTATATTTATAACTTATAACCTTATTTTGCATATTTATCTTATATATCTTATTCAATTAATAGATCCTTATAGTTCTTTCAAAATATAATACTATCATCAGCTATTTAAGGCCTTTTATAAAAATCTAAACGTTAAAGTAATATACCATACTCTGCAGGAGATACCAACTCTTGTTCAATATAATAAATGTTTATTACCGTTAAATTATAAGTTGTTAAAGTTATTAAAAAAACTTTAAAAACCATTATTAATAATTTTATAACCTGTAAAAGTTAAATGTTAAATTAGTTAACTATATTAAATAACTTAAAAATCTTTAATCGCATATAAAATAACGGTGTAATATATATTTTTACAATTTTATTTAAATTAATTAAATTATTAAAAATATAATAAATTAAATTTTATATAACGTTTATTTAATATATATTAATTATATAATAATTAAAAGTTTTATATATTTAAATTGTATAAGTTTTAAAAATAAAATCTTAATTAATATTATATAATATAATATATATACGTTAAAATAAATTTTAAATAAATTATTATTTATTTATTTATTTTATTATAAATTTTATTATATTATTATTAAGTTTTAAATTTAAATATTTTAATGATTAAGATGTGTGAAGTAAAATGTTTATATTATTTATTTAAAGTTATTAGTTTTAAAAGTGGATAAATTTTAATAATGTTAATATATACGGGGAATTTAAGGTTTAATTTAAGTTTTTTTTTTAAATGCTTTAAATTTAAAATTATGAAAGATTATTTGATTTATTTAAATTTTATTTAGGAGTAATAATAAAAGCGGGAATTTTATTAAAGGATTGATTATTAATAATATTAATTTTAAATAATTAATTTCTTTTTTTTAAAACGATGTAAGAAATGATTAAAGTTTTATAAAAGTTTTATTTAAAGGAATTAAGCGTGTATATATGTATTAAAAGCGAATATAATTAATAAAAAGAAAAGATTATTAAATTAAAATAATTAGTTATTTAAATTGTATTAAAATTTTATTTTAAAATTGTATAACGATTTAAGTATATGATTTAAGATATGTATAATATTTTAAAAAGTTATTTAGGTATATACGTGTTAAAGTATGAGATTTAAGATAATTATATAAAGGTTGTGGTATTATTTATAAAGGTATTTAAAAGTTAAGAGGTTTAAATAATTAATTAATCTATTATTTTTTATAAAAAAATATATAATGGAATTTTAATATTTTAAAAAGTGGTTATGGCGTTACGGAGGTATATATAGGTTTTTAAGAACGTTAAAGGAAAAAGAAAGGTAGTTAAAGGCGTTTTTAAGCTAATTTATAATATTAATAAAGGTAAAAATATTAATTAAAAAAGTAAATTTAATTATTAAAAGAAATTATTATAACTTATAAAAACTTTTAAAAAGTAGTAAGGTAATTTTAATAAGTGTAAAAAGGTTAATATTAATTTAAATTAATTTTATAAATATTAAAATTATAATTGTAATGTTAAATACAAAGTTTGTTAAGGTTTTTATAACGTTAAAAATTGTTTTTATATATTTAAGGATAAAAGATTTAAATATTTTAAGTTTAAAAAGGCAAATGTTACCTTAATAAAGTTAATTTTAAAAATTAATTTTGATTTAATAGTTAAGATAAAAATTTTGAAAAAAGAGGTAAAGGTTTAAAGAATAAAAAATAAAAATAATTAATTAAATAAGTGTATAATCATTACGGAAAAGGGTGCGATTTTTGTAATATTAATTTATATTACTATTTTTAATATTATTTAATATTTGTTAAAGAATTTAACAATATTAAATTTAAAGATTATTATTTATATATTTAATAAAATATTTTAATTTATTAATTTTAAAGTAATATTATTAAATAATTATATTATAATAAATAATAATAAAATTAAAATTATAAATTATAGAAAAATAAATATTTATATTTAATATTTAAAAAGATTTATTAGGATAAGGTTGGTAGATATAACTTATTATAAAAATTTTATTTATAATTTTATATTTTTAAAGCAGTTACGGAGGTAAAGTTATTAATGGGATATATGTAATAATTTTACTTACTTAAAATAATTAAATAATATTATTGTAGTTAAATTTATTAATTATTATAATTAGTTTATATTTAAAGATATTTTTTATAAAATTTTAAAAATTATTTTTTACATTTATTATAACGTTTTAAATTTAAGATTTATAAAAACCTTAAGTATTGCAATTATTTTTTATTAATATTTAAAATTAGGGTATTTAAGGTCTTAAACCTTAAAATACCTAATTAACGTTAGTAAAGGGATAAGAATTAAAGGATTTATAACGGTTAAATGCAAGGCATATAATATATTTAAAGTAAAATGTTAAGTAAGGCATATACCGCGTTGTATCGATAAGTTTTTCGGTATAAGATTAATTTTTAATTTTTATTTAATAAAGGTAAATAATTACGGAATTATAAATTTTATATTAATTATTAATAAATAAATTGGTATAATTTTTAATTATTATTTATATAATTAAAAATTGAAAACAATAATTATAATTTTAAAAAACTTTATTAAATTATTAAAATATTAATATAATATCACCCCATAAGTTTAAAAATTAAATTGTAAGATTATTTAAATAAAACTAATAATAAAAAACTATTTTAAAAACTTTCATATAAGGTTAAAACCCTCAGTTAATTACACACAAACATAAAACGGTATTATTAAACGTTTAAAAAATATAATTAAAAATAAAACCAAAACTATAAAAACAAATATAAAACTATCGTACTCACTATAACTAAAAATATATAAAACTACAATATATTTACATAATCGCATACCGTAATATAAATATAACTAATAATCCTTATATAATCATTTTCACACATTTATAATAATAAATATGTTGGTAGGTACGTACGTAAATAAGAATAACAATAATAACGATAAAGCAATAGTAAGTAAATTAATGGTGTTAAGATTAGTATATTAAGATATTTAAAGAAGAAAGAATCTATCTAAGGCTAGTTAAGTATAACATATTTTTATATTCTAATAATAGCGGATACCCAATCCCTTTATCTAATAAAGTTGGGTATCTTATCTCTTCTTCCCTTATCTACAATAAGGGCACCTTATTATTAGTAAGGTGCCTTTATGTCAGTGTCACACGACCATCAAAATAATAATATCATAACCTGGAAAAAAAACCCTAATAAACCCATTTATAAATATACAGTTATAAAACCTATACACTAACAACAAACACCTTAAAAAAAACTAATAAAAAATATTAATTAAACCTAAAAACCTAAATAAACTTTTTAATAAGTTATATATCAACTAATATATATAAGATTTAAAATCTACATATAAATAAAATAATAAAAACTTATAATATAATTTTTAACAAAAATAAATTATTTAATAGAAATCTTACAAGGTTAAAAAAAAAACTACATAATAATTTACTTTATACAAACGTTAAAAAATATAACCATATACTTTAATTTATTTAAAATTCCCAACCAATCATTACCTAAACTATTAACAATAACATAATAAATAACAAATTTAAACATATTAAAAATATAAACATATTAAAATTAAATTTAATATTATTAACAAATAATATATTAAATAAATTTAAAACAATAAATACCATAATAAAAATTAATCACCTTTATACGAATATTAAATTTACCCTTATATTAACCTTAAATCTATTACTGCTAATAGCTTTATTTACAACTATAATACGCTTTAAAACGTTAAATTATCCTAATACCTTACCCGATAAAAAATATTTATAAATTAAAACCTAACAAACCATATTCAATACAAACAAATTAAAAAATCAAATAAAAACCTATTAAAAACAAACAATTAATAAAATAAAAAAAATAAAATTATTTTACAAATCTCCTTAATATAATTTAATTACCCTAACAATACACATTAAAATTAACCCTTAACAAACAAATAAACCTAAAAAAATACACTAAAAAAACCTCTTAAAACCCCTTAAAAAACATAATAACATTAAAAATCACCCCTATAAAACGCTATTCGAAAAAGCTAAAAAAATACATTGAAAAAACCATCGTTAAATAAAAACCTAAAAAAAAATTTTACAATCCAATCTTAAATACCTTAAAAAATAAATCCTTAATTATATATAAATATATACATATAAAACTAATAAATATAATTATTTATAAAAAACTAAAACAAAATTAATAGTTTAAAAAAACTAATAAATCTTAAAAACCGAAAAAACATATGCTTTAATACTAACCGAAAAATCTTTTAAAACCTTAATAATAATAATTATAAAATTTAACCTTAAATTAATCTAATATTGAACTGGTGCTGGTATATCAGATAACCTTAACCCTGATC